GGGGTTCAAGGCGACACCGTGTCGCCGAAGCTGTTTCCCGCCGCCTTGCAGTGGGTGATGAAGTCACTGGGAACGAGAGAGGTATATGAATTGATGGGAGAATCCTCTCGAATCTTTGTTTTGCGGACGACATTGTTCTCTTTCCGAGGAATATCACTGAAGCGGAGACGATGTTGAAGGAACTAAACGAAGTAGGGGAGCGGATAGGTCTGCGAATCAATCGGAAGAAGACTCAGTTCATGAAGAACGCCTTTTGCGAGCATCAGGAAATTGAATTAGAGGGCTCTCCAACTGCGGAGACGTCTCCTTACATGTATCTCGGACGTTCTATGAACATGGAGAACGATCTGAAGGAAGAACTAAATAAACAGGAGGCGAAGAGCTGGTTGGGCTGCCTTCGGGCCTCTAAAGGAAGCCACAGACCAGCTGACGGACCCAGAGCTCCGAGCACACCTGTTCGATTCAACCGTTCTCCCTGCGCTCTGTTACGCAGCAGAGACGTGACCTGACACTGTGGCTACGTCGAAAACACTCCGAACAACCCACAGAGCGCTGGAACGATGTCTTTTGAAGCACAAGTGACGCACCCAACGTCTCGTCGGACTTCGCAGTTCGGACATGAGATCAATGTTCCGTCTTCGCGATCCAGCGAAATACACTCTAAGGCAAAACATCGATGGGCTGGTCATATAATGAGAAGGACAGACGACAGATGGACACTAAGAACTTAGGAATGGTACATCGATGGGCTGGTCATATAATGAGAAGGACAGACGACAGATGGACACTAAGAACTCTGGAATGGATCGCTCGCGAAGTAAAACGTCCTCGAGGAAGGCCAACGACCAGATGGGCTGACGTGTTTGTGGCCGGGTGGACCAGCTGAATTCTCAGCTGAGTAATGGGTCTGGACCTCGCGAAAGTCGCCGCCGCAATAATACCAACATCGTGGATGACGCTAGCGAGAGATAGAAACGGATGGAGGCGTGGCCTGCACGAAGACAGGCCATCTAAGGATCTAAATAAATAAGTAAGTTTGCGAAATTGTCACTGGTGCGCGTATTGCTTCAACGTGCGGTTCTCCACTGCGCGCCTCCGTCGTCATGGGCATTGCCGCAGGCCCGTGGTGAGCAGCTTGAGCCCAGCCTTGTTTTAATGTATATATGTGATAACATGC